ATTTACTCACTCATCCAGAAAAGGCCATCTTTGATCAACAGATGCCGAATTGTGTTCCATCAGGACAACGCCAGGTCACACACGTCTTTGGTGACTCGTCAGAAGCTCCGGGAGCTCGGATGGGAGGTCGTAATGCACCCGCCTTATAGTCCGGACCTGGCACCAAGTGATTACCATCTTTTCCTGTCCATGGCGAACGCGCTTAATGGTGAGAAGTTAACCTCAAGAGAGGCCTGGCTCTCCCTGCACACAAAGTTATCATCTTTTGAAAAATCAATAAAAAACCGAACGAACTTTTTACTTTACCTAATATTTAAAATGACTGAAACAGACAGAGTTTTCAGAATGGCTTTGTGTTCGGAGCAAGTTAATCTCCTTGATATCCTCACAAAATTTTCCTTTACTGAACACACTATTGAAGTTTTTTTTAAAGAATTTTGAAAAACAGTGATTCTTAAGCAAATCTCAGCCCTAGATGGAGGACGAAGAATATTGACTAAGAAGATCGCACCCAGTAATATACATATAAGCATTTCTTAGTGTTGAAATAATTTTTAATCTTTTAGAGTACCAAACTCCATCATACATTGCAAAATATATGCATATAAATACAGTACCTACAAAAGTTCGACCTTTACAATAATCATTGATTTAATGGTTGTTAACTATGTTATGGTAATTAATATTCGAGATGATATACGATTGCATTTTCAGTGTCCTGACCTCACAGAAGCAACTTGTTTGTTGATTCTTAACACCTGCCTACGAAATAGAAAGTCATATTATTGACTGCGCTTACATTTATTGACCTTGAGTTGTCTCTCAAATTACCTCCTACTAGCTCTGTGGCAACGCACATTTCATTTTCATTAGCCCTGTCTAAATAATTTAATGATGTGTCACAAAATATTCGCGCTTCAGCCAATCATTTTTAATTAAAGCTTTATCTTGATTTCAAGTATCCTTCATTTAATTTTCATTTAATTTATTATCTCTGCAAAATAACGTATTCACAAACTTTGCTCTTGAAATGTCATTGGGATAAAGCATTTTTGCATTTTATTTAGTGCATTAACTTGAGTTTTGGTAAAAGCTATTGTATTAAATTAGCAAAAATGTCTGTCCTTCAGCTAACCAATCTACAATATTCCAAAACTATTTTTTTAACAAAAGACAGATGTTACCAAATATTTTATATTCATCAAAGATCTACCTACGCTTTGTCTCTTCTACATTTAGCATTATGTTATTTATTCGCTGGTTTTTATTGCTCTTTTCGTAATTGGCCTCAGAAAATTAAACAACAACAATAAAATTAGTAAAATCATTTGCTTAAAAGTCAATAAAAATTATTGCTTTTTTGTTAATGCAAGTGACTTCAAATAATTCTCTTTGCAGCACAAATATTGATATCTTCGGAAAAAAGTAACATGAAACCACTTTAACTTCAGCTGCACAGAAGCTTTATGTGAATTTCTTACAGCATAAAATAGTATAAAAATATATAGCTATAAGCTATAGTGGTTCGATATCGGTGGGTCCGACAAATGAGCAGCTTCTTTTTTGAGAAAAAAACGTGTGCAAAATTTCGATATCTCAAAAACTGATTAACTAATTCGCGTATGTACAGACAGATAGACGGACATGGCTAAATCCACTCAGCTCGTCACGCTGATCATTGTAAACTTAGGTAACCCTTAGCATCATTGTTTAGAGATAGGCAATGTCAGAATAAAACTACGCCTACTTCATATTTACCACCATTTTAACTAGCGTAGATTATTCTTTTCACAAGAAATAAATTAGACATCAATCACGCCATAGGAGTAAAACTTAGCTCGATTATTGCTCCTTTTGCTCTGCTACTTTTATCTAAAAGTGATCGATAACGGACTATACCTTTTCAAGTCTTCTGATACTGAATATATGGCTCTCATTGCCATTGACTAAATATCGGTTACCTAACAACGATGATTTGCAATCGATTTACAATTTCGTCTAATAACAAAAGTCGAATTCATATACAATATTTTTACACTCTCGAAACATTTTAATTTAATTGTTTTGTTTGCTTAATTTATGCTTGTTACATCTGAAACTAATCGAGATAGATACAGAATATTGTATATCAAGATGCGTTGGTCAGTTCATGCAAATGATAACTTGAATAAAAATTGAAATATTTTGATGAAACTGGTGCATATGTTCCTTGGCACTCTGAGGCGGAGTAGTAAAACCTTACATTAATCGAACAATTATAAGTGCAATGACTAAGTCATAGATTATGTCAGAAAACTTAAATTTCGTACAAAGAATCAGAGAAGGCTACGGCAATTGTGGTTCATATTATTCTTTTTTAAGTGGGCGTCAACTTATTGATTTTCTGTGCATATCTAACTCGTAACTACTTACACTTCAACAATGAAATTGCAAAAATTACTCCTAGAGACTTCCTCACCATTCATTGTGAAAATGGATAAATCGGTTAAGAACCATACGCACCCGACTTAGAAAAACTATGATGAAAACTAATAAACGTAAGTAAATTCATTAAAGGAAAATACCAGAGGGGTTGCAGTAAATATGTTACGTAGCATGGATATGAATTGGTAAAAGAATAGACAATGGCACCACCACTTAACCTTACTTGCATGTTGACCGAAGTATATTACATTTGGAGAATGGGAGTAGTCAGACAACCACGACTACTTCACATATAACACATTTTCAAATTGCATTTGCAATATATAAATCAAGTGTATATATCGGAATAAAATTTTACAGAAAGAGCTTCTTCAAGGTATGGCACAGCTCATCGGAAAATGGTCAAAATTGGATCATAACCTCTCAAGCCGCTAGATACCGAATATAAGCACCTCAGTGCCTATCGCTGACTTTTTGGTATTTGTTTTCGCTTGGTACACTGACAAATAGGTTCTAAGATACCTCTCCAAGTATGAGCTCTTAATCCGCCTAGGTATCATCCGATTTTATCCATTTTAGGCACAAAGATACATTGTTATTAGTAAACAAGTAAGGAAGGGCTAAGTTCGGATGTAACCGAACATTTTATACTCTCGCAAAGTCAAATGGTATACTCGTTTGAGATTTCTTTGTGGATTGACTGATATTTTCGGTGGAAGGTCAACTATAGGCACTGGGGTCCACATATTTAGTACATAGGGAGTTCGAAAATCGATGTATTAGGTATATGGCGGCAAAGAGAAGCCTTCATCCGATTCAGCACATACAGGCTAACTGTTATCAGGAAAGGATTTGCTCCGAATTTTAATAACATATCTCACAGAGATCGCTGTAGGAAGTGGGATCGATATATTCGGTGTCTGGGTGAGTGTACAGTTAGTATTGGTCCGATTTTGAGCATACTATTCAGGCAAAGTTTTATACTGATACGTTCAATGGTACTTGATTTACATACTGGAAAGTGAAAGGAATTTAAAATTGTGTTGTAAGGAAGTAGGCATGATTGTAGTCCGATTTCGACTAATTTCGCACCGTAATATGGAAATTTTAAGATATGTATTAATATCGCTACAGAAAGTCCTGAGATATGGATTTTTAACTTAAATGTGGCCGGGGCCACGCCCATCGTCTTATTTGATCCCAGCTCATACAAAGCCCTCTCGAGCATCTTATTCAAACTTCAATCGAAAATATCTTTTAAACGGTTTGGTTTACGAAAAATCTTATTGGACCTTTTTTGAAGACCATTCAATTTCCTACTAAATTCATGAAACGAAATACTTTTTTAAGAGGTTAGAAGCGAGATATGAATTTTTCGATCTGATAATAAGAAAAAAATAGAAAACTGTATAGCGGCGAACCTTCCCATTACAACTTAGAGTTCATACTTGAAGAACGCGTCTATCAACCATATTTTCAGAATACCAAGCGAAAAGAAATATTCGTTGCTTTTAACCCACTCTAATATATATACCATATACATATGTGACCAATCATTTCCAAAGTACTGACTCTATATAATTTTCAAGATGATCCAGTTCCAACGAATTATACATTGTGACCAGAAAGTTTCCTAAAATTGTCATTTAAACTGCCCGCGCGAAATATATTTCAGCACATTTTTTGTTTAGTTGGCAGCACTGTCCTTAATTACTATGTCAAAAATTAGCGCGATCTGTCAACAAGTTTGTTTGCAGCAGCTGTTGAAATCAGTCGAGTAGTGTTCAGTGTAGTGTAGTGAGTAGTGCGATTTTTACAATGCAAAAACATATTGAACAAAGAATTTGCATAAAACTTTGTGTTTCGAACCAAATTTCGTGGGCGGAATCATTGCGAATATTAGAAACGGCTTATGGTGAACCGAAAACCCAAGTCTTCGACCGATGCACAGCCTTTAAGGATGGTCGAGAAACTGCCGAAGACATGCCTCCTTCCGGTCGTCCTTTGACGTCTACCACTGACGATACCATCAAAAAGCTGAAGGAAATCGTGCTAGAAAATCATCATGCAAGTGTGAGAGAGATAGCATGTAAGCTAACCATCGGCCGTTATAATATTTAGATCGATAGTTTTGGCATGAGACGCGTCAATGCATGGCTGGTTCCAAAAGAACTGAATTTTTTGCAAAAAGACCGCATCTATTGATTAAGATTAAATATTTGTCGTTTTATTTTCAATTTCCGGAAACTTTCTGGTCACAATGTATACCCATGCAAAAATAGTCCCCTTCTGTTAGAGTATTAAAGATCATTTGCGTAAAAATATATTAGTTATATTAGGGTAACATAAAATTCGAAATTTGGGTTCAAACTTCAAAAGAAAATCCAAGCTTTCATGCAACAATACCGAAAAAGAATTTATGACTGTCCAACTTAAACCCGTTGGTTATTATTGGAATTATTTTCTTCTCGCAAATGAAGAACAATAAAAGTTATAGAAACATATAGCTACTTATATAGATTATGAACGCACTTATGCATATAAAGAACTATTTTTACAATAAGAGTTGTACTCACATCGGTGTTGCTTCTTTCGAGACAGTTCTTCTTTGAATCAATTTAGTTCACAAATTTATTTATTTATTATTACTAATATATTTTAACCAAGCGCGTTTTCGTTGCAAAATTTTAATAGCAAAAAAACACTAAATAAAAGCACAATAAATGAAAATAAAAAATCACAAAAATTTCTGCAACCGAACCAAATGATTTGCGAATTTGCGAAAATGCTTTTGTAACCTAAATGCCATAATAACAACAAAGCTAAAGACTTCACAACTATAATCACAACAAACGGCACATAACTAATACACTTTGATGACTCTTAGAGCATATGGAATTTATTCGCATAGATTTTCGTGCTCACAATTCGATAATCACTGGATGACGCTAAAGACGTTGACCGATATTTCGCCAATATTGCTGAATATTGTTTATTGGCCAATTTCTTCAGGTGTCGTAGAAACGAATTAATGGCAATGAAACGAGACCGTAATGTAGTTTTGCAAAAACAATAAAATAAATAAAAAACGACGCGTTTGATTTTGCGCCACTTTAATGCGCGAATTTATAAATAAATAACTGATTTTGGGCGAATTCATTAACGATTGCATTTGCTGGTGTCATGTCAAAGTTTGTTTGGGATGTCGTAGTCACTTGAGAAAGACCGATATATAACTGAGGCTACGACAGCACACAACAAATTGCGCTTGCGCGACAACTCATAGAAAGTCAGGTGAGGACAAATCCCAATAAAAAGCAAACGTGTTCATTTGAATGAATAAGTTTGTAAAGAAGCGAAATATTTACAATAACACTACTATAAACTTATTAATATATGGTATACATATGTGTTCATATGTACAGATACGAATATAAGGTAAAGAAATGCGAATGGAGAAAAGCAGTAAGTCAGAAATGCGCAGCCAAGCGGTGATAATAGCCACATGCAGTTACTAGAGAAAGTTGTGCGTGGTATGAATAAGCAAGTAAATGAGTACGATGATATGTTTACATATATATGCCGAAGAGAAAATTCAAAATCAAAACAAAATGTTTAAAATGTGAGAGAGAAACTGAGCTTCGTACGAAACGGAATGGAAAAAACGCAAGAACAAACCGCAAAATATTAATAAAAAAAAAAGCGTTGCTAAGATAAAATTAAGTACGCTACATACATGCTTTATACGTAATTACAATAGAGAACAAGAATGTATTCTACAAATTTTATTCACTTTGGCACCAAACTATAATATGCTAAGTACTTCCAAATTTCAATCGAGTAATTTAGACATGGAGTCGGATACATTTATGGTTATGACGTTGATTCCACAAGTTGACTTTCTGCCCTATTCATATCTAACATTATAATAGACATATTATTGTAATAACATTCAATGGAAATGTCGCACTTAACGCGTTTGAACTATTTAACGGATAATTTTATCTGGTTTCCATCGATCAATGTCAGAAAAATTTTAACGAAAATAGCTATGAAAATTGTTTTATTTTGAAACACATTGACAGTTTTACTATTTTGATTTAGGAATTGTTTTATAATAATAATTTTATTCTCAAAAATTTTATTGTCGGGTTTAATGGAATGTACTCCGAATAAAGTACTAGTATTGCAGCTGTATGCTATAGTTGCCCGATATCTGCTATTCCGACCAATGAGCACCTTCTTGTTAAGTAAAGAAGTGGCTAAATCGACACAGCTCGCCATGCCGATCATTTATATACAGGTATTAAAAACTTCGTGGCAAACTTAATATTCCCTGTTCAGGGTATAAACATATACAGTTGAATCTTATATAAGAGAGAATATCAATCAATACAGATAAATTAAAATTGAGTTTCTGTTTGTTATATAAAAATATCCGCATTTTACTAAAGGCAGATTGATGTATACACTGTACTTTTTTTACAATTTTTATCAGACTGGTCTGTTTTTGCCCGCTAGTTTCTGAAACGTCTGGCCCATTTTTGATAGTAATGTCACTGGCAGATAGCTTATATAAGAGGGAATAATTTAGGCTAATTTTTTGTTTTTTCACAGATTCCTATAACACCGTCAAATTTTCCACTTTAATTCAAAAGGTTGCAATTGCCTATCAATTTCCTATGACAATCACACGAGCAAACTTTAAGATATACAAGAGATAAACTGACATAAATTTAACTTATAATTACTTTACATATTCAGGTGCGTGGAATGCCAATAGTGTTGTTCTTTTAGTTCAAGAATTCGTACACCAAATATTGTATATTAAGAAAATGTTCAATAAAGCTAATACGCTAAACAGAAAATAAATTATAATTAAACTAAAAATACAAAAAGAAAAAAAAATTATATAGGGAAATATGTATAACAACCACACGTTCGAAATAAGCATAGTATAACTTTTATTGAGTTCCACGTGGGCGAAGTCCACAGCTAGTATCTCATAAGGGTGGTAAACTGCTTGCTATTCCATCTATATATGACCATGTCAGTCTCTCACTTTGATGTAGATGAAATCGACTGACGGAAAGCAGTATTATGAAGATTACTTTTAAATTCTGTAATATAATTTTTATTAAGTATTTTAATATTTCGGTATAATAAATTACTGAAATGTTTATTTTGAAAATTATAACTATTCTGAGAAGTATATCTAAGAGATAGTTAGAAATAACTGAGCAATTTCTAGTCAAGTTTAATTGTCGAATACAATTATCCAAATTTATAAAAATGAAAAAGACTTAAATAACTATTACTTACAATTATAATATATATAATACTAAATTAAGTTATACCGAACTTTGCGCCAGCACATACAAACATACAAGTATAGCGATAAATAGAAGTACAACACGTGTCAGTAGATATTACTACTAATAATAATAAAGCATACGCGGAATCTAAATGATTCAAATATCGTTGCTTCGCTATGTATACCAGCAACAACAACAATACGAAAAGTCCCTGGTCGAAAAAAATTATAATTTTTACACTAAAGTATGACTGTAAAGCATCAATGCTTTTGACCACCTCCGCCTCTATGACTGGAACTGCCAAATAATGAAGCGGAAGCATGCGATGCACCGCCCGAAGCGCCCAACGAAGCATTCAAAATTAGATTGACAAGACCGCCCACTATATGCGAAGCAATATGCTTGATAAAGCCTCCCGAATCGGAACCACCGCCCGCGTCTCCTTTGCCTTTATCGCCATGCGAATGACGTGAATCAGAGCGACGCTCATCATCGCCCTCCTCATCGGATTCTTTACGATTTTTCGCTTCTATAAAACTACTAATGAGATTTCGTGCAAAAAGAAAGGGGTTCGGGCGTAAGTCATCATCTTCGGGATCCTAAAATCGGAAAAATGAAAAAAAAATGTTTTAAAAGATTTTTGTTACAACTAAATCGTGCTAAAAGCTTAAGAAATTGAGTACTATGGAAAAGCTACTAATTGCGTTTACGTGCGATTATTTACAGCAATGGGTTAGTTAAAGCTTGAAAGCGGTGCATATGTAAATAAATGTTACAAGTGCAATAGCTGCTATTTTAAAAATCGTAATAAATATATACTGCGCTGAGTTGAGCATAGACAGTGCCAAGCAGATTTCCGATAAATTGTCCATTGTTTACCTAAAATATTTTATAAATATGTGATTAGTTTATAATTCAAATAAAATTAAAATGCATATATGTATATGTACCGCTCCACCACCGCCCGAAAGACCATCAAATGCCGTACCTATGTATATGCCCAGCACTGTGCCGAAGTTTTTGTTGCCCTAATAAAGAAAACAATTTAACTTTTAAGTCTGAAATCGTGAGTGTGACTAATAATAAATGCGTCGAATATGCAATTACCGCCAGCAAACCGGAAATGAGTGAAGTTGCCGTGCTGATGAGGGATTCAATATCTAAACCGCCAGGCTGGAATAAAAAATGAATGTCAGGTAATAAATATAAAGCATGAATTAAAAAAGTAATAGATACTATAATAATGTATACAATTAATGTGCATGTCACTAACCCCAAATAAAGTAGAAATTACGCCAGTTAATGCTCCAATTAATGCGCCGATGTCTGACCCGCCTTCACCCTAGAAAGTCAACAAATGGCTTTTAATGAACAATGGAAAAGTTTAAACAACATTTAAATAGTCCAAATGGTTTGGCTTACTTACTCCACTTAAACTCGTTATAATTCCTACCAACCCGCCCCCACCAGCATCAGGAGGCGGTGGAGCATCAGGGAAATCGTCGTCGGTATCCAAATTGCCTGCTGGCGGTGGCAGCGGTGCTATTGGCGGGAAGTTTTCACCATCTTCCTGTTTGGCAAGTTTTAGTTCATCTACGTCTATTATGGCAGTGCTTGGAGAGATTGTTGTTGTTGTTGTTGCAGCGATTGCTGCTGTTGTGGTGAGGTTCTTAATAGCTCTTGCTGCTCGTATTGTTGTTGTCGTAGATGTTGTTGTGATTGCAGGTTTACTGTTTATTTTCTGATTGCTGCGATTTTCAATGACTATCTTAGACTTTAATGTTGAGTTTTAATGAAAATTAAGTTATTACAGCTTTAGTTTTTTTTTCTAATTGTATATATTTAATTATTTTCTAAATTCCAATGCGGTTAGTATAAGCGAAAACCAAACGTCATTAGTGTAAAAGCATAATCACTACAACAATAACAAAAATTAAATACGATGTTTTAAATACTCACTCTATTAGCGTTTGACGGAAATGCAAAGTCTTCTTCAAGCGAATCATCTATGAGCTCGTTGTTTTGATTGTCAAGACGTGCATCTACTAGGTTATTGCGAAAGTCCTCCTGGGTTTGAATAAAACGGCCCTTTAAATATCATAGGCACTGGAGTATTTTTCATTATTTTTACATATAATATTTTGCTCTCTCTAGGACCTACAAGCTTTAAAGGGTTTTATCCACTTGTAAATCAGAAAGAAAAACGCGTTTTTTTTTTGTGAATTTCGTTTTTAAGAGGAATTTTTTTTAACTGATAAAAAATTAAATTAACGCACTTTTATAGAATAATGTATTTCAATAATCTCCACGAGGACCTCCGAAAAATGATGTCTGGCAGTGAGGAAAAATATGCTTAAAATTATCTTAAATGCAAAAACCAAATAATGATCGAAGGACTTGCCAAAATTTAGATTTTTCACAAAATGACGGCTTCCCAAAAAATAAGTAGTTATTGTGAAAAGGATAAAAATAGAAATTATTATCAAAACACTTATTCCTTCCATCAATACCTGACAAATATATCTGAAATGGTCGTGTGAAATTTCTAGTCGATCGGTCCAGCCGTTTCGGAGAAATTTTCCTCTTCGACTTTGAAAACAGCATTTGCGAAACATTAAAAACTACACGAAGTTAAAAAAAAATCTTTCTAATGAAACTATTTGCCGTATCAACTACTTATTTAAGCACAATCGATATATATGTAAAAAAAAACAATTTTTTTTTGTAATTCACAGGTGGATATAAGCTCTTAAGCTGACTTAGACTCTATAACAGCGGCTAACGAATCTTTTTCGGAAGATATTTCATGACAAAACTGACAATTAGAAAATAGTAATATTCAAGTTAGGCAACTGGTAACCCAACTTAAGCTTTCTAGCATCTATGACTAAAAATGAAAGGACAGAAATAGATACACTATGTTTTATAAATTCAGTCGGTCAAAATTGATATAATACAACATTCATAGTAATTGTACCATAAACATCTACGTTCAGTGCGTCACTACATAATACATATTTCTGTCAAATGTACTCCGAAACGGTAACTGGATGAGACTGACGTACTGTATATAGGACAATACTTGATTTCTCTCTTTGCGTTAGATGGGAAGTAGATTTACATAGCATTACCAACCAATTAATTAATGTGCAGGAACCCTAGTTCAAGTTCGAAAAGTCAGAACCTCATTCAAATGGTTTCAGTATCCAAAATTTTTTTTAACTGCAAGTAAAATTCACCTCGTTCAAAATGGACTCGATCATACGGACTTCAGCCGGCACCTCAGGTGTTTCTACGACATTCCGTTTCCGCACGACCTTCTTGCTTGCCTGCTCCAACAAGCTACCCTTGTCTGCCTTTGTAATTAAATAATCCAAGGTTTGTGTAACTTTCTCATTTACAAGCGACTTCATCGCGCGTACTTGCTGTAAAATCTGTCGCCGTAAAGCTCCAACTCGCTCTGCAACATTGTTTTCGTCAACAGTTTTACCATATTGCTCGATGTTCTCTTGCGAGGCTTCATCATCAACATCGCCCACTGATTGCCTTCGAATTTGTTGGAGCGTTTGCTGCATATCCGCTTTGAAGTCGAACACATCTTTTTCACCGGTCACCAAATCCATGGCACTAGTGAGTATCAATAATGCACGATAATCGCGTGCTAGCTGCTTTTCAATATTTTGCATTTTGGCCACGAGTTCATCATCATTTAGTTCACTAGCTTCAAAGAGCAATCCTCTCACTATGTCTACTAAGTTACGTTCCATGAGTTGTTCAGCCTGTCGCGCGCCATTTAAAATTCCTAAGGTGGTGATCACACGTAGTTCTTCGCGTGACAAACTCGGCTCTAAGCGTTTGTAAGCACCCATGGCACGCACATAGTCGGCATTCAGTTGGACACGTATGGACTTGCGTACTGGCGCACTGATAATAACCTGTGCGAGGACAATCAATATAATGGCGACAATGGCCAGAAACGGTTTACGCATTTTGCGCCAGGAACGCATGAATTCGCGTGTAAATAGTTGCTTGGAGGTAAGACAGCCGATTTTCGTAACACGTAAGGACACACAACGCACCGATTTTTTTAGCGTATAAAGCAAATGGTTTTTAATACTAACTTATTTACAATTGACCTGCGACAGTTCTTCAACAAATCGGCACTAAATTAGTTAACTCCGGAACAAATCATTTTATACGACTACAACATTTTCTACGGCGGATGCGTGATGGTCAATGAAGCGAAGCATCTGCACTATTATTGGCGCTCAACATAAACTATATATAAGATGTATATTTGCGGCACTACAACAACGTTTACACAACATTTAACCATTACCGATGACATTACTTTGGTCACCATGGATGGCGCTCTGCATGTCGTTCGTTTCCTGGGCTTTACACTCCACTGCACCTGCGGCAATGCTGCAATGCTTCGCTGATCCCTTAACGTCAGCTGTAGTTTCTATTGGATTGAATATATTTACTCAGTGGATGATGGCAAAGTATTTTTTTAATTAGAATATAAGTAAACGTATTTTGTAATTCCTATGTAAATTACTCAGTACAGCACAATAAAACATCCTTTTAAAGACGATTATTGCTTGTAAACTTTATAAAACTCATTTGGTTTTAACTTTTTGGGTCACCTGCTTTGTTCTCAGTTTTATTTTTTATTTTATCTCTCTCAAAAACAATAACAGCACGAAACTGCCATAGTCTCTAGCCATCATCGATTCGCTCGGTGTCTTCTAGGCGCTGTTCTTTTGTTACAAAATGTACATGTAAAAGCTAATAAATATTTCGATAACCTCTTAAAGTGGTATAACCGATCCACTTTCATTTTTCCATAAAATAATTGGGTAAGTAGCAAACAACTTTTCCATATGTGCTTCTTGGTATAAAATATCCAACCTCTAGATCCTTACATACATTCATTTGTTTTTATAAGACTTTTATTAGCTACACGTGTTTGTTTGTATGCACATTAGGGTGTCTCAAGGTAAAAGGTAAGACTCTTTTTTTCTATTGTCTTTTGACGGTACAACCCTTTCGCAAGAACTCGTAATTCACGAGGCCCCTGCAATTTTTAGTTCCCCAGTAACTTTTCTAACGAAGATTCTACGATTGGCCAATACTATTTTCTTCACATCATTAATGTTTTCGCTTGTTATTGACATGTTCAGGCTTCCGGCACGCTTCGTCGTTCACATCTTCTTGACCTTCTGAGAACATTTTGTACCACCGATAAACGTTGTTTTTTCCCAAGGTAGCTTCACCATATTCTCCACAGTCAACATTCGGAATGCGTCCGCGCACTTAATTTTGTTTTTCACACATTTTTTGGAATAATCAAAAATCGAAGACGAACCAAAAGGAGTCCAAAAAACGGCTGTCAAAAAGTAAGGAAGGGCTAAGTTGGTGTGATCCCGAACATTTTATACTCTTGCAACTTGCAAGGATCAAAGCAGGGTAAATACCTTCAGGTGTTAGAAAAACTTTATATTAAAAAATGTTGCGAAACAATTCAACATCCATTACTCGATGAAATTGTAAATGGATTATAATTAAATTTGGTATTTTATTAAGTTATATTATAAATCAGATTCACTTAGTTTTAATACAATATTTTACTTGGCGCCAGCTAAAATTGTATTAAAATCATATTTAAATAAGATATATGGGATATAAACTCAAATAAAAAATAAGGAGTTGATGTAGAAACGTCAACCACAGGATCGCAATTCATTATTTAAGTTTATTAAAGTATTACACATTTTGTCAGGTGGAAAGTCGGAAATTATTATACAGGGCACAAGGGTTAATAAAATAACGAAAATCAAATAGTATTTGGGAGTTGGGAAAATTCGTAGACTGAATTCACATATTTTCGGCATTAAACTATAGTATATCCAATATTATACGTTGAACTATGGTATATCTAATATTAATCAGTTAATTGGCTAAGATATCTTACATATTGACTAATATATATGGCATAAGGCCAACCGAAAACTTGAAAATCCTATGTTAGGTATGTAGTAGTATTGTCCCGATTATATCTATTTTTGCTAATGCAATATAATATTATAAAATAAAATACTCCCTAAGTTTCATTAAAGTAGTTTACATACCTTTACCAACTTATATGGAGTAAAATCCACCGGATGTTTGAAAATGCTGTGGTTAATTATAGTGGAGTTAGGGCAATTTTTTACCCGATTTTACTTATTTTAGGCACTAAGATACCTTTCATTCTTATTGAGATAACTCACATATTGACTGATATATGCGTTATAAAATCACCCGGAAGTTCGAAAATCTTTATATTAGGTCCCCATATACCTAATATAAGCTAAGCCAAGACACTCAGACATACTATCATCAGGAAAGCATTATTTCCGAATTGCAATTATAAATCTCACAAATTGCCGGTATTTTCGGTAAAACGTCAACTATAAGCACTGGCGTCGACATATTCGGTACCTAGGGGATTGAACAGTTTTGGCTCGATTTGGACGACTTTTGATCATAAGGTGGCAAACTTTAGAGGGACTATTCGCGTAAACTGTTATCCGGATATATTAATTGGTGCTTAATTTGTATACTGAAATGTGAAAGAATCAGATGGAGTTTAAAATTGTGTTATATGGGAAATAGGCGTGATTGGCATCCGATTTCCTCCATTTCCGCACTGTAATATTGTAAGAATGTGATGTAGTAAATTTGGTTGAAGTCGGTTGAGTTGGTGTCGAGATATGTGATTTCATCTGAAAATGGAAGGTACCACGCTTGTTGAGACAAGCAACCGTTAGGAGAACAAAACTCTGTAGCAGCATGTTGAAAGAGTATAAAAATAAAATAAACGCTCAAAGTCGCCGACCTTGTCAGCTTAAGTAAGGGATATGAGTACCAACTTAATGCAACAAAACAATCGAAAATCGAATACACGTAGACCGCGAAAACTCAAAACTCGCGATACTTTTTGAACAAACCTCGTAGACATTTGTGTATATACACAATAAATACTAGAATATTTTGATTTTTGACTTAGATTTAAGTATTGTTAATGAGTTACTAAATAATTTTTTGAGTACAAAAACGCACTAATAAGATGTTTTATATATAAACATAAACTTATATGCACTCTCTTGTCCGATTTTTTTTTTATATTTCTCCCACTTGTCACATTCTTTTCCAAGTTACTTAGTTCTTAATCAGAAAAACATTGTGTCTCGGTGTAGTACGAGGATAAGTTTGAAGGAGGATCCGCATTTCCACGTCAATTTTGGTTGGATGGGGTTGTGTACCCCATATTCTCTCTTTTTCTATGTATGGTTCTGTTAAAATAATATATGTATTTCAAATGTAGCTATGTAATAGTATAACTAAATATTTAATGCCTTTGCCAGTTTTTTACCTCCGGATTGACTAGTTGGAATATGTCGTGTAGAATTAGGTGGATGTGCTACTGGTGCCCATTTTATTTGTCGTGTGTCTTCAACCCCATTTACATTAGATGTCCATCGATACGAGGGGAATGACCGATCAGTGGATAACGTAAAAGCATTTGCGAATGCACAGCATAACAGAAACACCGCCGTTATATATTTGTATATTAATATTCTTGCCCGTGCTCTCATATTGTTCCGTTGTCGATTCGAATAACACTAAATTCATTATTTTTATACAACACGCCTCGCTATCAGATTTGAATACAGCTTAGCAGACCTTACAGTCCAGCTTTCCGTTAATAAAACGCAATAAGTGAGACCTATATTCGGGTGGAAACAAAAAATAAATACTCTCTCTAATTATAAAAATCTAAGTAGGGTACGAGATCTTTCGCACATCTAATTCGATAAGAATTGTTTAAAGTATTAAAGTGTTTCGAAATTTTATATTTTAGAGTGATGCGGCTAATTGTTCAAAGGGCTACACTTTCTTATCGGCGCAAAAGCGATTTGTTGATATGCGAGTGATCTAGTATCACAAAAGACAAGTCGAAAATTGGCTAAGTGGGATTTTCGTCGAGGAAACCAGGATAAATACGTAACCTAAGCAAGGGACGCGTATGCCAAGTTAACCGCTTGACGAACTACATACTTGTAGTATAACGTTATACTTACTTTAAAACAAAACACAGTTATATTAACAAAGAAATTCTACTTTTTAAAACACGCAGCGTGAGTAAAAGACATCAGAGTAAAAAACACGAATCTTCTGATAATAAGTTCTTTTAGCATTATCTGGGAGTGCAGAAATGCTCAAGCATGTATGTAAATAAGTTCGAAGCATAACACTATTTTTTAGCTTAAGTGATGATTTCACATATATCAGACTTCCTGATATCACAAAACAATTTTTGTTCCTTCGTTACATCGTTCTTGGTAAATAAAACAACAAGAGAATAAATCTACAAGCAAACAGATAGCGTACTCACTTTCGGCTCACATTTTCATTTATGAGTGTTGAGAATAACTCTGTGTGTGGCAGCAGCAAAAACAAACAGCTGTCATTGAGAATTAAGAAAATAATCGAAAGAGTATACAGAGTAAATTCCTCGAATTGATTGATATTTCACAAAACTCGCCGCAGTTGTTTAATGGAATTTAAAAAAATGCATAGTGATTAAGATCGTCATTGGTTAGTCACGCATTTACAGATCCGCATAATTTCAACTTATCAGCAATTATAAGGTTGTCATCTCCCTTCCGCTTTTTTGTTCTTCATTCAATGCTTTATAAAAAGTGTTCGGATTTAGTTAAAATATGCGCCGTTTTGTTCGATGATCTGTTTCCATCTAGACGGCAGCTTCATAATACCTTCCTCGTAGAAGCCCCCCTCCTTATTTGCGAAGAATTCGGACAGCCACTTTTCACAAGCCTCTTTTGAGTTCAACTTCACACCACCAAGGGCATTCGCCATGGACAGGAACAGGTGGTAATCACTTGGCGCTACGTCCGGGCTATATGGTGGATGCGATAAAACCTTCCATCCGAGCTCTCGTAGCTTCTGACGAGTCATCAACGAAGTGTGTGGTCTGGTGTTGTCCTGGTGGAACACTACACCCTTCCTGTTGGCCAATTCTGGACGCTTCTGGTCGATCGCCTGCTTCAAGCGGTCCAGTTGTTCGCAGTAGATGGTAGAATTAAGCGTCTGGCGATATGGGAGCAACTCATAGTGGATGATTCCCTTCCAATCCCACCAAACACACAGCAAAACCTTCCTGGCCGTCAATCCCGGCTTGGCCACTGTTTGGGACGATTCACCGGCCTTCGACCACGACCGTTTTCGCTTGATATTGTCGTATGTGATCCATTTTTCGTCGCCAGTCACCATCCGCTTCAAGAATGGAACGAGTTCGTTCCGTTTCAGCAGCATATCGCAAGCGTTGATTCGGTCCAAAAGGTTTTTTTGCGTCAAATTATGCGGCACCCAAACATCAAACTTTTTATTGTATCCAGCCTTCTGCAGATGGTTCAAAATGGTTTGGTGACTAACTCCCATCTCCTGGGCGATGTCACGAGATGCCATATGCCGGTCTAACTCGATGTATTCCATGATTTGATCGGTATTTGTCGTCACAGGTCTTCCGCCGGCTGGCTTATCTATGGTGTCGTTTTCACCGGCTCTGAATCGTCGAAACCATTCCTCCGCGGTTCGAAGTGATAGAGTACCATCCCCCAAAACACCATTAATCTCACGGAACGTTTCTCTAGCGGATTTGCCTTTAACGAAGGAAAACTTTAAAATAGCGCGAATTTCGGCGTTAGTGAACTCCATGTTTACACGTCTATAACTGTTGAACGCAATATCCAAACTAATCATGCATAGCGTTGTTTTGTAGGTTATATCAAGACCTTTCAAATTATGTATAGTGTTGCCAGATACGAGCTCTGTAGCGCTTTGTACATAGCCGCGAAATTCAAAGAAAAGATGTGGTTCACACATATAATATTGTAAACTAAATATACTCGTATAGGGCGGAATTTTTCTGAAAATGGATCAGACCATACCTAGCATTAGGAAACAAATGCTCAATTTCCGAACACTCAATTAGCTTCAATACGGATAAAGCGAAATCGATCAGCAAATGCTGATGATTTTTTTTCTACAATTTGCTTTTAAATTTCGAATAATAAATAGGGTATTTAAGTAAGATGAGATTTAATTATTGCTATCAAAAAATTATTTAATATCGTAATTTAACACCCAAATAAATTCCTTCCGGTACATCATTTGTGCATTTTTTTACAGCATAAAAGGTTATAAAATAACATTTTTCTTCATTTTTATCGGTCAGTTTAAATTGGAGCTATATATTATAGCTAATACAGTTATCTCCAAAATACTTTTGTGTCTTTTTGTGAAACAGCCCCTGAACACCCACTGTGTTTCTAGACTTCGTACTTTTCGAAAATAGTCGTAAAGAACTGTTAGTGGTGGACATACTTTTGGATTCCAGGTGGTTGAGGGAAAAGATCAAGATAATCTCCAAATAGCTGATTTGCCAGTGTGCATTTGAGAGAATACACGCAAGTAATTTCTTTCAATGTTATCAACTTTCAGCAATAAACACATGCACATATACTAAATATTTCGATTTAAAAATAATTTTTTTGATAACCCGAACGTTGTTGTTGTCATTTTGTGCCGTAGAAATTGATAAGCATTATATTTTAAATTGTTTTCCAATGTAGCACTTGAGCTTAGTTAAATCAAATCATTCGTGTTAATAACATTCCGGCAACTAAAATGAGCGCTCGAAATTCGTTGTTCTCAACAGTATTGTTATATTACATATGCGGTGGCCTTGAATACATATCAGCGCAACCCACAGGTGTGCGCATATTTCACACTCTATCACATGGCTTCAAGATCCCACAAAGTCAGCAACCGCCAGACGCCATTAGCTTTGGCGGCATGAATGGAGGATACATGGCAACACAATTGGATCGACATCCCTGGGAAAGACATCGGTTTCAAGACCGATACGGATATGACCCCAATAAAGATTTTGTAATTGCACAACCAAATTTTCACAATTCTGAAAAATTCATGATTAATAGACTGAGTAATATACCACCATTCGTATTGAATTCTGCAACTGTGCCTTTAGAAGCGCCAAGTGTAAATGTGGCATTATCTGAGGATGCAATAATCGTAAACCATCCTTGGCATAATCCACATGGCAGAAGGCATCACCATAGATGTCATCATGACCACAGATCAATGATTTCGGATCCCGGCCTAAAGGAAGAAGATCTACAAGGTGCAGGCTATGAAGCTGGGAGTTTCGGGCAAACTACAATCTTTGGCAATGCTAATAACGGCATACGAGAGTGGGAGAATATTGGACCACAACGAAGAGGTGGAGGTAAACCAAAAGAAGATGCCGTTACAGATATTACTCCAACAGTTTCTACAACAACGCCAGCAGCAATATCAACTACAACCGATTCTGCAAAGGGAACCGTAGAAATCACAGAACCAGCGTCAAAACCATATGAAACGACAACAATCAATACCTCAGCAGCAATTTCAACTACAAAAACATACGAAACAACAACAGTCAGTAACTTAGCTAAAATTTCTACGACCGGTGCCACCGTAACGGTTGCGCCAACAGAGAGCACGTTTGAAATTGATGTAAGAAGTGGATTGGCATAAAACGCAATTAGCAAAGGAAAGAAGATAAGGACTATATTGCAACTGGGAATGTGTTATATAAATATACTAACTTTGTAGTGGGTTTACTAATCACTGTGTATGAATGTAAATCGTAATGCTGTTCCATGTCCGGACTGATATCATTTGCTGTGATTTTAATATTTTTACTAAAAGTTTAATTTGAATGTAGGTTTTGACATTTAGGGTTTGATATGAATGTATATCGAAATTACCGAGATGAAGATATGAATTGATTACTGGATGTCTGTGTGATATATCTGCTTCAAAACTGTTACTTTATTAGGTTCTACATACATATCTCACAAACATCTGAAGGTGATCAACCAAATTGTTGTGAACTTATTTATTATTCCATCATATGTAGTGAAATTTGGGTTATCGAGTACCAACCATGCCCAGAAGCAACAAAAAAATAGGTCCACAGATTTGAATCTATGGAAAAATTGGAGAATGGCATAGCTTCACCCACTTTTATATGGACCTTTTTACCTCACTAGCTACTGAACCAGCTTTTTTTATAAAATGTGTGGCATGTTTCATCTAAAATGATCGAAATCGCTTGATAAAATCCCCCCCACTAGCTTTTACCGAGTATGACATGCCACATATAACCGGCTACGTTCGAACTAAGTGTTTCCTTACTTTTTACATCAAGATAAGCGTAGTACAAGCAGGGACAAGTTTCCTGTCTTACAGCGGCATTCGAGAACAGTCACATTTTCACAGTGATGCAAAACAGTAAATAATATTTATTTCAGTGCCACACACTACAATGCCGTTATTTATACTGTACCACATGCAATACGCATTTCTCTTCATATTACTGCAATGTTTGATGTACCAGGCAACTGCAGTTTCAACAACTACGGAAGTATCTCAGCAAAAGTGCGGTGATAACGAATGTCGGCAATCAAACGAACATGTCATTTTAATGAAATTTATACGTGAGCAACAACGGAAAAAACAACAACAACTTTTTGAAAACCCTGAATCCGGTGGTAATCGGCAACATTTTAGACATCATTCCATCAAAACAACAACAACAAGTGCGCCTACAATACGCACTGTTTATCGCCAAAACCTCAGTAAACTAAACTCATCAATAAACTCACAAACAAATACAACAACCAACAATCTTCGACGCAATTCCACCAAGTTAGCATACAATACAACCACAGACACCGCCACCTCTCACAATGGAACGGAGCCATATGCCGAACAGATCGTACTTTACATGGTAGCGCAACGTAAATGCAATCACCACCGCCGACGTTGTGGAATTCCATGAAAATAAATTTATATTACATGCATACATTATTTTAAAAAGTAAAAAAAAACAAAACAAAACAATCAACAAGCTATAAAAATTTACTTCGAAATATACATATGAATACATAAATACTCACATCTGCTTACTTGTTTAAACATAATTTTCTTGAAATACAAGTACATAAAAATTACACGGTTATCAGAGGTTAACTGAGTTATCGCATCATCTCTATTTTAATATATACTACATAATGCATTTGCATTATGTACGGGAACTTTGGAATCAACTAATGGATCTCTCCCTAAATTCTAGTACTTGTATAAAGTGCACTGAAAAAAGGGTTATTGACATTTGGACGTTCGTTCGAATAAAACTTAATACCGAGGTTACATTATCTACTATTTTGCACTAGAATTACTCCTAATTGTCAACATACATATGTATATACGATATAAGATTTGTGAAGTAGAATATATAATATATACCTAGTTAAAAAATATTCATATCTGTATATAACTACATCTAAATTTATATCTATATCTATATCTATATCTATATCTATATCTATATCTATATCTATA